TGTTTTGTTCATCAGCTTATTTTGTTTATTATATTCCACAAATAAGGGAGATCATGTATTTCTCTGATTGGCTTATTTGGCCTAGTATAATGCTCTCCAGGTCCCTCCACACCATCTCAAGGAGTAAGAGATCTTTCTCTTTTACAGCTGCATAGTATTCCATTATGTAAATGTACCACAGTTTTTTTAACCACTCACCTACTGCTGGACACTTGGGCTATTTCTAGATCTTAGCTATTGTAAATAGCACTGCTGTGAACATAGGAGTACATATATTCTTTCTGATTGGTGATTGCTTCTTAGGATATATTTCCAGACATGGGATCACTGGGTCAAATGGGAGTTCCATTTTTTATTTTTTGAGGGAACATCAATATTGTTTGCCACTGGTATTTTAATAGGGATTGCACTGAATCTATAGATTGCTTTGGGTAGTATGGTCATTTTAATTATGTTGATTCTTACAATCCATAAACATGGTATATGCTTCCACTTTTTTATATCTTCCTCTATTTCTTTTTTCAATGTTCTATAGTTTTCCAAGAACAGGTCTTTTACCTCCTTAAATTTATTCCTAGGCATCTTAATTTTTTTGTTGCAATGGTAAATGGGAATTTCTTTTTTGGGGGGCACATAATATGTATCATAAACTGAAGTTATTAATTAGTTGATCTGTTCACTTATTGTTTTTGCCAGTCTTTTCTGCTTAAACTAAAAACGTCACAAGAGCAGTAGCCATCTCCACAATGCCTATAATCTAGCAAAGCACCTGGCACAGAATAGAACCCTGTAAGTGGTTAAAGAGTGAGCGAGCCACAGTAGGAAATCTTGATTTCCCCACTGGGAGAGAAAGAGGCTTGGTGAGCTGAATAGGCTAGACTTCTCAAGTAAGGAGAGAAGTATGTAAGAGCTTAGAGGGAAGAAATACTTTTATCAAGGTCCTGTTATGTTCTGGACAGTGTCCCAAGTATTTTCACACATATCATTTCACTTTCCTAGTAATCCTTTTTTAATAATAGATATGTAAACAGAGGCTCAGAAGGTTCGTATAACTGTTCCACATTGACACAGTTGGGAAGCAGTAGAGCAAACATTTCATTTATGGCTCTTGCTGTAAAGCACAATCTCAGAATCACAAACTTGGGTGTTTACAGGACCAGGTGGCCATGGTAGGGATTGAGAAAAACCAAAGGGCCTGTTTCTCATCTAAAGATCTAAAGAGACAGCCAGTGCCATGGGGGAACTTGGGCCTGGGATGTCCAGAGCTTCCAGTTCGTCAAGGGAACTAACTATAGATCTGATTTTTATGGGAAAAATTTTTAGATGTTGGCAACCAGTTTTTAAAAATTTTAAACTTTGGGAAGTCAAATCAAAGTTATCTAGTGGCTGGTTTTTGCCTTCAGGCAGTCTATTTGCAGGCTGTTCTTTATAGAAAGAAATGATGAGCCCACCCACAGAGTGGGGATAATAGTGTGTCATATCACATTGAAGTCCTTTGGGAGCAGAATTAGATATGGCCTTGGGCTAGTAGAATATAATCAGCTCTGCTATAATGTGACATCCATTTCTAAAACTTCCTACGATATTCAAAATTGTGCAGTGGAAACCACAGGGCTTATGGGAATCTCTGCCTCTGTTGTCACATGGCTTTCTTATAAAGACACCAGTCATTGGATTTAGGACCCACCTAATTCCAAAGGGGCCTCATACTAACTCTTTTTTTCTTTAATGCTCACCCGAGGATATTTTTCTATTTATCCTCAGAGTGGGAGGGAGGGGGAGAAAGGGAGAGAGAAACATCGATGTGAGAGAGACACATTGACTGGCTGCTTTCTGCACGACCCCGACCAGGTTCAGGGAAAAATTGCAACCAAGGTACGTGCCCTTGACCAGAATCAAACTCGTGATTCTTTGGTCCGTGGGCCAATGCTCTAACCACTGAGCAAAACCGGCCAGGGCACCTCATACTAACTTAATTACATTTGCAAAGGCCCTGTTTCCAAATAGGGTCACATTCTCAGGTCCTGGCAGTTAGGACTTAACCATCCTTTTGGGGGGAACATGATGCAGTCCCCAGTATCGCTCCTTCACTCCTACATAGGAGACTTAAATTTTAGTGAGTCTAGGTACATCCTCTTAATTTGATATTTACTTGGTCCCATTAAACAGGAGTCTACCTCTCATGTTTGTTAACAAGGTCTTGGGTGGCTTAATGGTAACCTTGGGGTTCCAATAGGGTATTTGGGGATTTTTTTTTTTCCTGCTTACATAATTAGTTTTTTCATAGAGGTGGTGATCTCTCTGAATGGAAAATGTAAATGTCTTGGGAAGAAAGAATAAACAAAAAGATTTTTAAATGTTTGTAAATAATTCATTGAACTCGTGAGCCTGAATCTTTGAGAGGAAAAAAAAAAAAAGAAAAGAAACTTGGGCTTTGGAATATGTTATACAATCACCAAGAGTAACTGTCCTTGTCTAGACCAAGTCACTCCCCTCCTACCCCCTGCCAAGCCCCATCCCTGCCTTGCCTCAATCAAAAGGACTAGGGAATAGCGTAAAAGGAAGTGACATGCCAGTTACTCTGCTCAGGCGCAGAGTGCATTATCTCCAAGAGCAGAGGACTTACTAGTTTTCCCTTGGTGTTCATTGATCATTGAAGACCCCTCTCAATCACATAACTATTTCATTTCTCAACAGAGTAAACAGTTTGGAAAGGAAATAAGAATTGATAGACATGAAAAGGAAGTCAGACATTCGACTTCAGATCTCAATGTGATAAGGGCCTTTCAAAGGCCATTGTGCTTACCTCTTGACTAAGGCAGGAGTCACTTCTGTGGCATCTGAGAGAAGTGTTTGTCAGCCAGTCTGTCTGCAGCAGTTCAGTTGAGCATTGGGTAGGAAAGTTTTTAAAAAGAGAATTCTTTTTAAAAGATCTTCTGTCTCATGTTTGACTGTTCCAGGGGACTCTTGGTATGCCACAGATTGTAACAGTGAAAGGTACTTCCTTTGCTTCTCTCTAAATGTGTTCTTCTTTACCCTTAAAGATCTTTTGACCTTTCAGTTGGAAATGACGATTAACTGGAATTTGTGCGCAGTCATCAGCTAAGGGTTTGTTTTTGCTTCTTCTGTCCCCAGTCTGCTATTATTTCTGGTCTTGCATTTGCTGTGTCCTCAGACTGTAACACATTTTGCCATATTTTTGCATGGCTTCCTCTCTTACTTCATTCAGGTCTTTGCTTAGCGTCACTCCCTCAGAGAGGTCTTTCTTTCCAAAGTTGCCCCTTTGGCTACTTACTCATGTCATGCTCTGCCCTTTTACCCTGTTGTTTAGTTTTCTTCTTGGCACTTCCACCAACTGATATTCTATAATATGAATGTTCATGGTCTGTTTTCTCTGCAAGAAGGTTAACTTTACAAGGTAGGATTTTAGTAGTATTCATGTCTCTACATCTAGTACCAAGAACACTGCTTTGGCTTGACACATAGTGGATGCCCAGTAAATGTGTTAAGTGATTGCATCTTTCCTGCCTATGTCATTTTCTTTCAAAATCCAGCATTGTCTGATTTTCTATATTAAACAGTTGACAAAGCTCTTGTGTTAGACTCTGTGAATTTCCTGTCCAACCGTGGAATTCCGATGTCATAAAGCAACATCTATCAAGATGTGGCATAGATGCCAGACCTGCCCACAAATACACTGTAGGGAACTGAGTTCCAGCCAGAGGTGCAGCACATCTCCCCTTGCTCAAGACCCTGCTACAACCCCAAGACTCCTATTTGAAGTGAGGGCCTGTTGGTGTCCTCAGGGAGAAGGTGGGTAGTGCTCTTAGCTGGGGACTTAGCCTGGGAGAGAGCAGGATGGAGCTTAGAACAACTTCAAAGAACTTTATGAGTGGGAATAAAGAAGTCACTCTTGCCATAGCAAGTATTTTCATCATGATTGATGCACTTGGAACTCTTGGAAGGGGTAGTCTCTGACAGTTGGGCTCCTGAATGGTAGAAGTCCCCGAAGGAATCAGGGTCAGGATTTCAGCAAGTTAGTGCCTTCAGTGCTTCCACAATCTATTATTAAAGTCTTTTTACCATGTGCCAGGGCCTGTGCTGACCTGGAGGTACAGCCCTGAATCAGGTGCCATCCCTATCCTTAAAGACCTCTGAATCAGGAAGTGGGAGAAGCTGGGTGTATGTCAGCAAGGAACTCCCTGTATTGTTACAACAAGACAAGATTATTTACAGAACCTTCCCTTCAGAAACAATCCCTTAAAGTAGTCATTTCCATGTTTTTGCATTTTGTTATCAACAGCATTTCAAAAATATTGTTCACATTTTTTATTATGCCCAAAACAAGAATATTATTTTTTTAAGTTAAACCTATCATCTACTATTTATTACTTTCTTCATTTTATAAAATAAAGGGCTTTTTCCAGTTTTGTTGATATCATTGATGTGTAGCCCTGTATAAGTTTAAGGTATACAGCATAATGAATTGACTCACATATACTGTGAAATAATTACCACAGTAAGTTTAGTTAATGTCCATCATTACATAAAGATACAGAAAAAAGAAAAAAATATGTATATTTTTCTTGCAGTGAGAACTCTTAGGATCTACTCTCTTAATAACTTCTAATACGCCACACAGCAGAGTTAACTGTAGTCATCATGTTGTGCATTACGTTCCCAGAACTTATAACTGGACATTTGTACCTTTTGACCATCTTCACCCAATTACCCTTTTCCTCACCCCTAAAGGGCATTTTAATTCTAAAAATAGTGGGAATGATGCCATCCTAAAATAAAGTTAGCTTTATGAAAATTGTATTCTGAAAAGTTCACTGTTGTGTTTTATTTTTCTCATTTCACCATGCACTGGTGAAACTGCATCTTGGACCAGCATTGACTCCAGAACGGCGTTGGGCAGTCACCACTTTGAGCACCACCTGCAAGTGCACGAGTCGCACAATGCTCCTTGAGAGCAGCCTCCATGTTGTGTCTTGTAGATTGTGACAGACCAGCAGACAGGACAGAAGATCCAGATAGTCACTGCAGTGGATGCCTCCGGATCCCCCAAGCAGCAGTTCATCTTGACCAGCCCAGATGGAGCTGGAACTGGGAAGGTGATCCTGGCTTCCCCCGAGACATCCAGTGCCAAGCAGCTCATATTCACCACATCGGACAACCTCGTCCCTGGCAGGATCCAGGTAAGGCCTGTTGACAGGCCTTTTTTTTTCTGTACTTCTGCTACTGGACTTGTTCCTGACTGTAACCTCTGCCTTTGAGGCCAAATCTGTTTCTAGAGAGTGCTTTGGTGACTGCCAAGCATGGCAGGTTGCTGCTTTGGCTAATGTAAAAAATCGGCAAATGACTGGCAAGCCCCAGAAGATAGCCAACTACAGTGTTCAGATGGTATACAAGTTGAGCCGGGAAAAATCATTGGCACACAGGAGATAGTCATGAGCCAGCTGGCACTAAGGCCACTAATTCTTAACTAAGGCCACACAGTGGCAGCCCTTGACCCAGGATATTTTAGGGATACCACTTAGAGTTGGCTACAGTCAAACAAGGACCGACTTGTTTTTAATTCTTACCTCATCCTTGTCCGGATGGTCAGGCCTGGTCCAGCTTTTCATTGTTTCTTGATTTGCTTCTGTGAACCTCTGAACCCTCAGTTCTAATCTCCATCTCTGCCTTGCTTCACCGTACTCTGGCAAGGCAGGGCGGGGTCAGGGGCAGGTATGGGAAGGAGAAAAACAAGGGCTCGAAGGAAAGCAGGGTTGTTGGGAAGCACTGAATTTCCAAACCCAACAATTAAAGGAATAGACACTCGAGGGCAGTGTTCCATGGTGGCCACACATGGAGCATGTTTAGTCAAGGGGTAAGTAGGAATTCCATGTTTTCGTTTGTTTTTAATTTTTTAAGAACTTGTAAAAAACACACACACACACAAAATTTACCATCTTAATCATTTTTAAATGTGCAATTTAGTTGCATTAAGTATATTCATATTGTACAGCTACCACCACCGATCAACCATCCATCCACAGAACTCTTGCATCTTCCCAAACTGAAACTCTATACCCATTGAACACTTAAGTGGAATCCTACAATATTTGTCCTTTTGTGAATGGCTTATTTTATTTAGCAAAATATTTTCAAGATTCATCCCTGTCATAACAGGTGTCAGAATCTTTCCTTTTTAAAGCTGAACAATATCTCATTGTATATATATACCACACTTTGTTTATCTAATCATCTGTTGGTAGATACTTGGGTTGGTTTTACCTTTTGGCTTCTGTGAATAATGCTGCTAGAAATCTATGAATTTTGGCCCTGGCCAGTTTGGCTCAGCGGTTAGAGCGTCAGCCCATGAACCAGAGTCCTGGGTTCAGTTCCCACTAAGGGCACGTTGCAGTTTGTCCCCGGCCCCGATTGGTGTCGTGTGGGTGGCAACCAGTTGATGTTTCTTCCTCACATCGATGTTTCTCTCTCTCTCTCTTCCTCCCTCTCTCTCCTGCTCTATCTGAAGATAAGTGCAAAAAAAAAAAAAATGTCCTCGAGTGAGGATAAAAAAAAAAAAGAATCTATGTGTTTTGGGGGGGAAAGATTTGTGTTAATTACTATGGAGAAAATTAAGGAAGGAAAGGATTTTTTTTCTTCTGATAGAGCTGGGTTAGAATACCCATATGTTCAACTTTCAGAATTGTACTTTTTTTTTTTTATCCTCCCAAGGACATTTTTCCATGTTTTACTCAGATAGAGTGGGAGGGAGGGAGAGAGAAACATTGACGTGAAAGGGACACATCGAGTGGTTGCCACCAGAACGACCCAGCCAGGCCGGGGACAAACTGCAACCGAGGTACATGCCCTTAGTGGGAACCGAACCCGGGTCTCTCTGGACCGCAGGCTTACGCTCTAACCACTGAGCCAAACAGGCCAGGGCTCAGAATTGTACTTTTGAGATAACTCAAAGCACAGTTAGTTATTAGTGCTTCATTCTTTCCCACAGTGCGTTCTGATAATCTAAAATCAGAATTCCTCACTGCTTATTGAGATTACTCGTTTGTGAAAGGATAGCTATTGATTTTGCTGCATATTTTATAAGAGGTCATTCTATAATAATGATTTCTGTATATATTTCCACCCTTCATATACCATTTTAAGGTTTGTATTTGGAACATTACTTAATAACAGCTATTTTTCACTTTATTTGGTATCAGTTACAGTATTTTTCTAGATTAGTAGCACTATTTGTCACCCACAAATATAACGAGAATCAGCAGGTTTTAGAGGTCACCTATTCTAGTTATTCCACTCCCAGCTGCCTCAGTGAGAGACCTACTTGTTTAATTAGTAAAGCTAGGTTATTTTTCTGCCAAATATACCTCTCTGCGTACTTCCAAGCTGTTTTGTAAGAATAGAGAGGCACCCAGAAAGACCTTTGGTATCTTCATGTTGAGGCTTCTGTGTGTGATTATTCACATGGTCCCAGTCCTGAATGGTCGTGGTAGCCAGATAGGAGAGCAGATCGGTAAAAACTGGTGCTTGACCCTAGACCAACGCCACCCCACCCCCAGTGAAGAAGTGCATTCCAGATGAGCAGCTGGGCTACTGGGTGTCTGATTAAGTTGTCAGGTGAAATTTTCCCAGTTCTGCCTAGATCATCTCTCCTGTGTAGAAACCCAAGATTAGGAATATACAGTTAAACATTACTTTTTAGCAGTCTTGTTTTTAATCTGCACCCTGCTTGTTTCCTCATTCTTCTTAGATTGTCACAGACTCTGCTTCTGTGGAACGTTTGCTGGGCAAGGCTGATGTCCAGCGGCCCCAGGTGGTAGAGTATTGTGTGGTCTGTGGCGACAAAGCCTCTGGTAAGTAACCCTAGGTCATGCTAGGTGTGCATCATGGACCAAATTTCGGGGAGTAGGGGTAATGTAGAGAGAACATTTTCTGTAGGGTTATAGGTTTCAAACTGTGAACTCTACTTTTCTTACTGGGGTAATAATACATATAAGCAAATCAGTTTGTCACATTATTAGAATCAAAAAAGTCAGGAGAATTTCTGTCATTTGAAAATCATGATTGAGTATTAAATATGTATATGCTACTAAGAAAGTAATTGTTTCTCTAATCTAGTCAGTATTTGCAAAGCGCTTTGCTATTTCACAAAATGTGTTATTTAAAAAAAAATTTTTTTCTTTATTGATTTTAGAGAGAGAAAGGGAGAGGGAGAGAGATAGAAATGTCAGTGAGAGTAAACCGATTGGCTGTCTCCTGCACGCCCCCCACTGGGGATTTGGCCCCACACCTGGGCATGTGCCCTGACCAGGAATCAAACCAATGACCTCTTGGTGTATGGGTCAATGCTCAATCCCTGAGCCACACCAGCCAGGCTAAAATGTGTTATTTATTCACCCTTCATCCTGTAAACTGTCTCTGTCATCCCTTCACTGCAACCTAGTGTGTTAAGTGCTGAAGTGGAGAAGGGAACATGTGATTCTGGCTGGAGTCCCAGGGTCAGGAAAGGCCTCCAGAGGCAGTCACATCTGTGAGCCTTGGAGATTGAGTGTGCCTGTGTCAGGTAAAACAGAAGGGTATTCCAGCTGGTGGAGCCAGGACTCAGTTTGATGCCCACACCCACATTGTCTCTAGGGAAGAGCTCCTAGACATGATGGATACGAGGAAAGTGGAGATGTCTAACCCAAAAGTTCAGACTTTGGCCTGCTAACACTGAAGGTTGTATAAGATATGTGAGGTAGACAGGGAGGAATGGAGGAATATTTAATTAAGGTCCGGTTTCAGTAATGCTAGGGGCACAGGTCTGAGTTTTGTGATAGCTGCTTAGTTCCACTTTATTCTCTGGTCACAAAATTCACAGGAACTTTGGACACTTTGTGGTCCTGGGTTTTTTTTGTTTTTGTTTTTTGTTGTTGTGGTTTTTTTTTTAAAGTTGATGTATCTATTCTGTTTTGTTTTGTGTGTATGTGTTTATTGATTTTTTTTTTTTTTTTTTTGGAGAGAGAGATAGAAACATCAACATGAGAGAGAAACATTGTTTTGCTGCCTCCTACATGCCCCCAGCTAGGGCTCAAATCCACAACCCCGGCATATACCCTCACCAAGAATTGAACCGGGACCTCTCAGTCCATGGGACAACGTTCAATCCACTGAGCCACACCTGCCAGGCTGCTGTCGTTGTTTTGAAAAGGAGTCAAAAAAAACGTTTTTTTGGCCGGTTTGGTTCAGCAGTTAGAGCGTCGGTCTGCAGAACAATGAGTTGTGGGTTTGATTCCCGGTCCTAGTCAGGGAGGCAACCAGTCGATATGGCTCTGTCATGTCGATGTTTCTCTGTGTGTGTCTGTCTGTCTGTCTGTCTGTCTGTCTCCCCCTCCCTCCTTCCTACTCTATCTGATGATTTTTTAAAAAAAGGAGTCTGACCCAAGCTTCTTAGGAAGACATCTCTAGGCAAGCATCTATAGAAGCTCCAGTTTCCTTCCCAGCTTATGACACCATTTGCCCTATCCAGGGGTATCCTGCCTCTGTTCCCACCCCTTGCCCTGGTAAGTCTATTCCACCTCACCCTTTTGAAGCTCTCACCTGTGCTGCCTCTGTCCTCATCCCCCTTAATAAAACAGACCTCACTGAGCATTTATTGCATTCTCCTATAATTGGTTCTTACAGGCCTGTCTTCCCCATCAGAATGTGCTCTTTTTGTTGAAGAAAGAACCATGTCTGACACCTCCATCTCTATATCCCTACCTTCTTGCTCAGCAAGGAGAGACATTGTAAACTTTTGAACAAATGAATGAAGCATGAACACAAGGAAAAGGCCACAAAATTTGTCAGTCTCTTTCTGGGCTTAAAGGAACAGCCTAGTCACAAGCTCATAGTGCCATTGTCTGCACATAACAGAGGTCACTCTAAGGGTTAGAAAGCCCAGGGAAATACCCTGCAAAGAAGGAAAAATGATGCCTACGTGGTAGGTAATTTTAGCACAACTGTTCTTAAAGGCACAAAATTGAGACTCTCTTGCCCTGGCCAGTTTGGCTCAGTGGTTAGAGCGTCGGCCTGCGGTCTGGAGAGACCCAGGTTCGGTTCCCGCTAAGGGCATGTACTTTGGTTGCAGTTTGCCCCTGGCCCTGGTTGGTCGTGCGGGTGGCAGCCACTCGATGTGTCTCTTCACGTTGATGTTTCTCTCTCTCTCTCCCTTCCTCTCTCTCCCTCCCACTCTATCTGTACAAAAAATGGAAAAATATCCTCGGGTGAGGATAAAACAAAACAAAAAAAACCAAAATTGAGATTCTCCAAGTGTACTCTTGGGGAATGGCTCCAAGTGCTAGAGCTTAGGACAATGAGATACTCTGTAGCTGCTATAAAGGAGATCCTGTGTAACATGTTCTCTCAGCAACAGCTAAGACATTGGGTTACATAAGACTGAACTATGTGGTGGTGGAAGACTTGCCTTGGGTTGGTGAACACACAATAAAATATACAGATGATGTATTAAGAATTGTACACCTGAAACCTGTATAATTTTATTAACCAATAAATTCAATTTAAAGAAAAAGAAAAGACAGCCTGGCCGGTATGGCTCAGTGGTTGAACGTCGGCCTATGCACCAAGAGGATGCCAGTTCGATTCCCAGTTAGGGCACATGCCCAGGTTGTGGGCTCAATCCCCAGTTGGGGGCATGCAAGAGGCAGCCAATAGATGTTCTCTCTCGCTAATGTTTCTATCTCTCTCTTCCTCTCTCTAATATCAATAAAGAAAAGAAAAAAAAATTATGGTCAGTCCCAGCTGGGAACAAATGAGGTACACTGCCTATGGAAGCACTTTGTGAACTAAGAAGGGTAAACTGAGGTGGAGGGCTCTTTTTAATGTCTTTAATAATTAGGAGTTAGAGACACACAAGATTAGAAAAAAAAAAAAAAGAGAACTGTTTTTAATAAGTATATTTCTAGGACTATGTTTCCAAAAGGGTCTGACTAACCCAAGTGAGCTACATGGCAACCTTCCTTCACCTTGGATCTGTCCAATCACAGTCCCCATGCCGATGTCTTTCTCATCATTCCACTTCCCCCAGGGGAGGTCTAGGGCCAGGACATGACTTACATGGGGAATAAATGCAGGAGTGAGATGAGACCCTGTGCACTGAAATATCACATGCATATGCTACCTGCTACTCTTGGCAGGACAGGGGAGCTGAGTAGCTTCTCAAACCTAAGTCTGCAGAGCCAATACCAGGTACATGCAGAGGACAGTACAGTCTGGCCATCCCCCATGAGCTCCTACTGTATAGAAGGTCCTTTATGTACTAAGAGCATTAAGGTCGTGGCATTTTCCTGCTGTCACCTCACCTGTCTAGCTTAAGTGTTTTCATCATGACCTCCCAAGGCTCCTATAAAGATTGTAGAGAAATCATGTGAAAGACCCTAACTCCTAATTACCAAATGCTTAATGCCCAGGCCTATGGTTGTCCACATGACACTGGCATCTCACACTGCACACAAGTCACTCTGTGATAGACTTGCCTTAAAAACAGGTCCTGTGCCCTGGCCAGTTCGGCTCAGCGGTTAGAGCATTGGCCTGTGGTCCAGAGAGACCCGGGTTCCGTTCCCGCTAAGGCCATGTACCTTGGTTGCAGTTTGTCCCCGGCCCTGGTTGGGTCGTGTGGGAGGCAGCCACTCGTGTGTTCCTTTCATGTCGATGTTTCTCTCACTCTCCCCCTCTCTCTCCCTCCCACTCTATCTGAACAAAAACTGGAAAAATGTCCTCAGGTGAGGATAAAAAAAAACAGATCCTGTGATGGGTCACCTCTTTTCTTGGTAAGCTATTTCATGCACTCTATCCTTTCAGGCCGTCACTATGGGGCTGTCAGTTGCGAAGGTTGCAAAGGTTTCTTCAAAAGGAGCGTGAGGAAAAATCTGACCTACAGCTGCCGGAGTAACCAAGACTGCATCATCAATAAGCACCACCGAAACCGCTGTCAGTTTTGCCGGCTGAAAAAATGCTTAGAAATGGGCATGAAAATGGAATGTGAGTAACAGTATTAAAGAAACCACATGAGTTAATAAGGAGGGAGAAAGTTAGCATGAGTCTATTAAATAAGATTTCTGTACCTAGCCTTAAAATACTAAGAAGAAATATTCACTCAGGCTTCATTTTGGTTTACCTTCTGGATCAGCTTGATGTTTCAGCACTGACACTGCTGGAGTTGGTCAGTTCCCATGATGTATGTGGAAACCTACTCCCAGTAAATCGGGAGGCAGCATTGTGGAGTGGGGTGAATACAGGCTTTGGAGTAAAGCTGATAGCAGATCAAACTCCAGCTCTGCCTCTTAGAAGCGGTGAGGCCTGGGGAAGGTATGAAGCTTCTCTAAGCCACAGGGGCCTACTCTGTGAAATAGATCCCCTTACTTACATATTGGATCTGGGCTTTAGTCTTTTAAAAAGGTTGTTATTTTCGGGACTGCCTCTGCGCCTGCGCCGTAGCTGCCTGGAGTTGGTGCCCTTAAGATGCCTTTCGCACCTAGACTCTGTCTGTCCGCACTAGCCCGTTTGTGTTCAGTGTCCTGTGCACACACCTTGCAAGTGACGGCGCCATGAGTCTGAATTCCAATGTACAAGTTGAGTGGATCGCAGCAGTTACCATTGCTGCTGGGGCAGCCGCAATTAGTTATCTAGCTTACAAAAGATTTTATGTTAAAGATCATCACAACAAATCTATGGTTAACCTTCACATTCAGAAAGACAACCCCAAGACTGTAAATGCTTTTGATAGGAGGATTTGGGAGATAAAGCTGTGTGCTGCCGCTGTTGGAGGTCCAAAAAGTTCCCATTCTGTGATGGAGCTCACACAAAACACAATGAAGAGACTGGAGACAACGTGGGACCTCTGATCATTAAGAGAAAAGAAACTTAAATCGACAGTTTTGATGCTGCAAACCAACTTGGCCTGATTGTTTAATTAGAATGACTGCCGCTTCTGTTTAATTCACCTTCTCTGGATTCTAGATGTGTATTGCAAACTGTAGCTTTCATATTCATGTCATTTGCCTTACTTGTTGAACCATCGTGGTGCACATTTGTTTAAGCAAAAAAAAGGAAAAGGTGAAACCAACCTCATGGCCTGTGGGTTATTTTGGTTTTGTAAGGATCCATTTCTTTACATTTAATATAATTACATTAAAATGTAGTTGTGTGCTGAAGTTAACATATTAAATTATTCTCAAAATCATGTTAAAAAAAGGTTATTTTCTTCAGTTGTTTCTGACATGTATACTTGTCCTTATACCAGATTGCTAAAGGGAGAAGTTGCTAGGGTGATAAAAAATTGACAACATTAAACACTTTGCAGAAGTCATTCAGGCTGAAGGTGGACATTAGAGTTGTTCTTTTACGTTACAGTGGTTGTCAACCATCCTAATGCCATGACCCTTTAATACAGTTCCTCATGTTGTGGTGATCCCCAACCATAAAATTATTTTTGTTGCTATTCATAACTAATTTTGCTACTGTTATGTCTTAGGTGACCCCTGTGAAAGGGTCATCCAACAGCATTGGACAAGCTCTCTGTTATGGACCCTCTTGAACATGGGTATTTCTTATCCTGGAGAGAGTCCCTTTTGTTAGCAAGAAGTGAAAACCCAGAGAGCTCAGTGTGGGGCCCCCAAGGCCATGCAGATGCTGTGCTGCAGTTCTTCATTGGCATTGCCCACCATCTTGAACTCTTTTTCCTGCCTTTAGATTTGGCATGGCATTGTTTGGCTTTGCAACTTTAATTTAAAGCTCAAAACTTCACTGTAAAAATTGAGGAACAATTCTAAGTAAGACCCCTTACTTTAACATGAAGTTTAACAATCAGTAAGATCTGAAACAACAAATTGTTTTTATTGATTCAGATCTTTCCTTTAAACATGAATATTTATGTTGTGATTTAAGCTGTACAGAGTGAACGGAAGCCCTTTGATGTGCAGCGGGAGAAACCAAGCAATTGTGCTGCTTCAACTGAGAAAATCTATATCCGGAAGGACCTGAGAAGTCCTCTGATTGCCACTCCCACATTTGTGGCAGATAGAGATGGAGCAAGGTCAGTTCCTGTTTTGACAAAGGATAATACTACCATCAGCCTTTGTTGCTGATCAGAGGAGGCACAGATGTTTCTTGGAAAGGGGACTTATATGGCTCTCCACCTGCCTGCCACAGCCATCAGCCTTATCTTGCCTTGTCCCACCCTTTCTGGAGCTGTTCTAGTCAACCCTCTGGACAGTGCTGAGGATGGCTGGTAGGGTCAGAATTTTTCAAGGGCTCAGATTATGTCCTGTAAACAGTTCTGTAATTCAAGAGTGGGGCTAAGTCCTGGGTATGGTCTCAGATAGTGCCACAAGTTAATTTTATGTGTTCTTTTAACTGTAATCTATTGAACTTAATTCAAAAGGAACAGAGAAAGAAAACAAGAAATCCCAATGTATCTTAGCAAGAACTAGAATTGAGAATGCTTGGTGACATTCTGAAGATTAAGTTTAACGGTATTTGGCAGAGTGGCCACAGTCCACTGTCAGCATGGAAGCCCTGGGGATGTGCATCTGTGTGTCATCCTGTCTCAGGCTATTAGACCGGGCTGTGTGCACATCTCATTGTAGAGAAAAGGGAGGTTGTTCAGTCATTTGGTGTCTCAGCCTAGTTAGAGCTTTTCTTCTACTCAGACAGCCCTGCAGATGTGGAAGGGACAAGGAAATATAGCATGATCATACTGTGCATTAAATGTTGGAAGCTACTCTGGATTTCTTTATGTCTTAAATAGACAAACAGGTCTTCTTGATCCAGGGATGCTTGTGAACATCCAGCAACCTTTGATACGTGAGGATGGTACTGTTCTCCTGGCCACAGATTCCAAGGTGATGTTATACCTTCTTCTCCATTTTTATGTTGCAGCGCAGACTGCTTTTCTAAATGTTTAAACCATCTTCTTGGCCTTCAGAGACCATGCTGAGAGCATGACCTTCTGCTTCTCAATTTACTTTTTGTGATTCAGCCCCCTGTGATTTATTTTAGGGATGCTGATGGCTTTTCAGAAACTCAGGGATGGCTGGTCATAGTTATTATAACAGGGTCTAGAGTTCAATTTGGTGAAAGGTCTATGGTTCTTTTCTCTATTAAGATTTTTCCCCCTGGTACACACATTGGCAAACTACTGGCATGCTGAGGAAACAGCTACTTTCCTAAGATGGCCTTTTACAGAAGCCTCTAGATCCGTTTTATTAGATGATCTTCAGGAGGAAGTTCAGCCAGGATTCTAACAATTCTAAAACTGATAGAACAAATCAGTCATAGGGAATTTAACTTGTGGAGGAAAGATGTTGGTCAGTTTGAAAGAGAGAGAGACAGCTGGCTAACTCTTATAAAGATAACTGTAAGAGGAGGATTTTATCCAGACAAAGGAATCCATTGTGTTTCTCATCTTGACCCAAGTAATGAAGTAGCAGCCAGCCACAGCTGAGGTCTGATTGTTTTTTTCTGAAAGGAGTGACTTGGTAGCAGCACTAATGGCATTGCTGCTGACGTTAGAGCCAGATTTGGGACTGCAGGCTACTTTCTCATTTGTTTACATGCACACCCAGTACATTAGGGAGCATCCTCTTTTGAGAAAGAAAAGGCAAAAATTGGCTGGCACGGAGAGCTGTACTCTACCTAGTAGACCTCAGGCTGGGCTTTGAGCTTTCTGTCTTTGGTCAGTGATGATATGTGTGACCTGGGAATCACACCTGGCTCACTGCTGTCACCCAGGAAACATTCAGGACAGGGACTGACCGGGTAGTGGAGTAGAGAGAAAATTGTAATACTGAAAGAAAGAATCGAATAAACTTAAAACTTCTGACTACCAAGGGATTTCACAGCAACTGTTCTATTGTGCCTTTTTATTGATAAATAACATGCCTTTAATTGGCTATACCACATTTTATTTATTCATTCATCAGCTGATAAACATTTGGGTTGTTTCTACTTTTTGTCTGTTATGAATAGTGCTGCTATTAACATTTGCGTACAAGCCTTTTTGTGGACATATGTTTTCATTTCTCTTATGTATATACCTAGAAGTGGAATTGCTGGTCATATGGTAACTTGGTATTTAAACTTTTGAGGAACTGCCAGACTGTTTTCCTCAGTGACTGCACCATTTTACATTCCCATCAGCTGTGTATGAGGGTTCAGTTTCTCCATATCCTCTCCAACACTTGTTATCTGTTTCTCGTGTGTGTGTGTGTGTGTGTGTGTGTGTGTGTGTGTGTGTGTGTGTGTGTTATAGCCGTCCTAGTGGGTGTGAAGTGGTATCTCATTGTGGTTTTGGTTTACATTTCCAGTGATGTTGAGCATCTTTTCATGTGCTATCGCTATTTATGTCTTTGGAGAAATGTCTACTTAAATCTTTTGCCCATTTTTTAAACTGACTTGTCTTTTTATTATTGAGTTGTAAGAGTTTTTTAATATTCTGGCAGCTAAACCATTATGAGGTGTATAATTTGTAAATATTTCCTCCCATTCTGTGGGTTGTCTTGTGTGTGGGGGGAGGGGGTACTTTCATAATGTCCTTTGAAGCACAAAAGTTTAAATTTTGATGATAGTCAATTTATCTCGTTTTGATCTTTCATTTTATTACATGTATAGGTTTGTGTAACTACCACCACAATTAAGATATATAACGAATCCATCACCAGAAAGATCTTCCTTGTGCTGCCCTGTGCTAGTCATATCCCCTCAGAAGTTGTTTTTAAACCAACAATATACCTTCATTGTCTTGAGAGTCATTTGTGTGTACGTGTGTGTATTCATCATGTGTATTCATCTTTTAATGTTATTTTTTGTTTAATAGGCTGAAACAAGCCAAGGAGCTCTGGGCACACTGGCAAATGTAGTAACCTCCCTTGCCAACCTAAGTGAATCCCTTAACAATGGTGACACTTCAGAAATGCAGCCGGAGGACCAGTCTGCAAGTGAGATTACTCGGTACGAACCCATGAGGGTGGAGGCTCCCCACTGATGTGCACACTCAGTCACTGCATTGGGAGAGTGGGTGGCAGCATTTTGACACCCACCCTGTGGTTAATCAAGGATTGCAAAATTGTCACAGTGCCCCTACACATCTGTCTCCTTTCACATTTTAACTATGGGAATGTGGACCCACTTCTATGATATGAAACAGTCAAAATTGCTTTTCATTCCAAACAATGAAAAGGAACATTGAGAAACTCAGTGGAAGCAGGGGAAAGCTCTTCAGTAGACAGATGTTACTTGTCAGTCGCTGTTTATTGTGCCTGGATATTAATAGGTCATTCTCTTTTCCCAATTCTGTTTTAACCTATTTTTTTCATATATATTTTTTCCAGGTAGGTAGTGAGTGTAGAGCCGAGGGTAGGTAGCTGTTAGGTGATAGATAGTGTTAACTGGTCCCAGGCATCTGCAACTGGCTGCCGAGGGCGTATCTTCTCTGCAGTGTGGCTCTGGTATTTGCTCCTTTCACTGTGGGAGTGGCCACTTGTGCCCATTACCAGGCCAGGCAGGTGCATGTCTGGGTCACACAAGTGTGCTGGTCCTTATGTTCACTTGTGGTCTGATAGCAAAATTTAGATCTGATCCAGTGGAAAGAGGATAGGATCTGGTTCTGCCACTTACTTTGTGGTTAGTCTTAGAAAGTTGTTTAACACATCTAAGCCTCAGCTTTCACATCTATAAAATAAGAGAATTCTACCTTGGTGAGTAGTTGTAAAAAATAAAAATTTCAGGCCTGGCTGGTTTGGCTCAGCAGTTAGAGCATCAGCCTGCGGACCAAAGAGTCCCATGTTCGATTCCGTCCAAGGGCACCTACCTCGGTTGCAGTGTGTCCTTGGCCCTTGTTGGGGTCGTGCGGGTGGCAACCAATCGATGTGTCTCTCATGATGTTTCTCTCTTTCTCTCTCTCTCTCTCTCTCTCTCTCTCTCTCTCTCTCCCCCTCCCTCCCTCTCTCCCTCCCTCTCCCTCCCTCCCTCCCTTCCCCCCCCCCCGAAGATAAATGTAAAAATATCCTCGGGTGAGGACTAAAAATAATAATAGTAATAATTACAGGGGAAAATAATAATATATAGCTTAGCGCCCAAGGTGATGTATAGACAGTACATAGACACACTCATTGTTACCCCTTTTCTCAGCAGGTCTTTCTTCAGTGCATTGTTTTTCTAAATTATGTCTCAGCTAGAGTCCATTTCCCCTAAAAGCTGTGGATTTACAACACTTGCTTGCTTCAATTTTGCTCACAGGGCATTTGATACCTTAGCTAAAGCACTTAATACCACAGACAGCTCCTCGCCTCCAAGCCTGGCAGATGGGATAGACACCAGTGGAGGAGGGAGCATCCATGTCATCAGCAGAGACCAGTCCACACCCATCATTGAGGTTGAAGGCCCTCTCCTTTCAGACACTCACGTCACATTTAAGGTGAGTGTATTAGGCCTAACCACATGCCCCCAGACTGCTAGGAGAGGGGTTTTGTACAAAGCTGGTCTCAGTTTAAAAAGCAAACCTTGGAGTGAGCTCATTTTTATATTGTGGTGTTTGATCAGGATAATGTATTCTAGAACTATATTTCCATTATGAAGCATTTTCACTCGTCTTTTGCTCACAGTGACATTTGACTCTGAAGGTAACCTTGGTAGGCTGATGTGGTGCTGACCAGCAAGGGCTAGTAGCTGACTGCTCTGCCTTCCACCTTCTGATAATGGCCTGGCTGCAGTACAAGCTGAGGCAGGTACCTTGGTCTTCTCCAACAGCAGGCAGTCAGCCCTCATGCCCACCCTTGGTCCTGACCACTTGCCCTCTAGAGCTATAGAAAGTAGATCTCAGGCTTTGGCCAGTTTGGCTTGGCAGTTAAGAGCATCGGCCCACAGACCAAGGAGTCGCAGGTTCGATTCCGGCCAAGCTATATCTTGGCTGTTGTTCAGTTCCCTAGCCCTGGTCAGGGTCGTGCGGGAGGCAACCAGTCGATGTGTCTCTTTCACGTCGATGTTTCTCTCTCTTTCTCTACCTCCCTCTCTCCCTCCCTCCTTTCCACTCTGTCTGAAGATAACTGGAAAAGAATATCTTCGGGTGAGGATTTGGAAAAAAAAGAAAGTAGATCTCAGGTATCCTTGATGGGTACTGTGAAGCCCTCATAGGTCTTCCCCACATTCTCTTCCACTGGCCTCACTTCTATAGGACACTCCCACTTTCCATGAGGTCCTCTTAATCTCTGTGTCTCTAGACTGAGTCTTCCTGTTCCCCCAGCATTCTTTATTAGAGAGATCTGGCCAGTCACTTACGAAGATTGGGTCCCTGCTTATAATTGCCCATAGGTACTGAGGACATAAATCTCCAGTGGGATTCAAGCTTCAAAGGCATTAGAGCTCCTTCTAGACTGGAGTTCCTGGAGCCCAGGCCTGACATTCTGGTGGTAGGATATTCTCGTACCATTTGGGTTTCTGCTCACCTCTCATTCACTGTTGCCTTGAGGCCACCTACCAAATCAAATGTCTGTTAATCCAGGAAATTGTCCCCTTTTTTCCAATTTGATTTAGACTTTAACCTATAACTTAAAATGGATTTACCTTAGAACAAATAATTGAGTTGAATAAGAGTTGAAAAGTATGTCTTCGTATAGGTAACCATCATTCCACATTCAAACCCTAGTTCACTGGGCAAGAAACCATGGGGAGCTGGTGTCAGTGCCCCCTGCAGAGGACACACTTCATAGCATGAGTCCACATAGCCTCAACATCGGAGACCGTGGCTCTGGCTGCCATGATGTTGAAACGCAACAGGGATTCATATTGACAAACCAAGCCATCCTCTGTCCCTTCATCACTTCCTGTGCTCTGTACATTCTCTCTTCAGCTAACGATGCCCAGCCCAATGCCAGAGTACCTCAACGTGCACTACATCTGCGAGTCTGCGTCCCGCCTGCTTTTCCTTTCCATGCACTGGGCCAGGTCAATCCCAGCTTTTCAGGCACTTGGGTAAGTGGCCTTTTTCTCTCTGTATCCTCTGGCAAGGGCCTTCCCCTCTTTAGGAATTGCCTGGAAGATCTCTGAGGGCCCTTCCAGTTTGTTCCTATGATCTGTTTTTCTTATTAAATATAGACTGTGGACTCTCGTAGCAGGGGACCATGGTTGCTACGGTTGTAGTGTTCTTCAAATCTTCATCAAATCCTCTCCACATGCTGAGGACTTAGAACTAGGAGCTGAGGGTGGAGATGAATAGAAGCAGGAGTCATCCTAAAATTGGACACAAATAGGAGCATGCTGCATCTGGGGGCATCTGAATTAAGGACATAATTTGCAGTGCACCAGCATGTCATCCTAAGTATAAATTACTCAAGGTAGTAATTAGAGGCAGATGACTTCCTCCATACTACAGTGCCAGCTCCTCCCTCGCAGGGTTGCAGGCCTTTGGTTCCTGAGCCTTAGTGTAGAGTGTCTCCTCCCTTTAGAGTTTACATTCGGCTCTTAGTCCTCTCATGACAGCCATGTCAGGACAGCTACAGATTTAGAGAGCTATAATAAATGATGGTTAGTCATACCTATTAAAATTTCTCATTACTTAAGTTCAGAGAATCATTTTTAAGAGAATAGATAGTTTATCCCTCAGAGGGTCTTAGTTTAGAGATTGTTAGACAGTGGTGTTCTTAGAGAATGATCCTGAATATACCATAGGCATAGACTTTCAACACACCTGCTGAATCAAATCCACATGTTTGGGGCATGCTGGGGTTTGGAGAAGTGCCAGCTTGCACCCCCACCCACCCTCATCTCTGTGTCCCCAGGCAGGACTGCAACACCAGCCTGGTGCGGGCCTGCTGGAATGAGCTCTTCACCCTTGGCCTGGCCCAGTGTGCTCAGGTCATGAGTCTGTCCACTATCCTGGCCGCCATCGTCAACCACCTGCAGAACAGCATCCAGGAAGGTAGGGCCGGGACATGGGGGAGTATATCTCCATCTAGGCTGGCCCATTGCAAATTGGCTAGTGAATTAGTGCCCCACACCATCCACAGGCTGAGGGAGGTTTAACTTTTAAGTCATAGGATCTTGTCAACATTTAAATTTCTACCTGATTGCCTTTTTTTCATAATAATGAATATGAAAGGGGGAAAAAAGATAAGTGAAAAAAAGTTGACAACTTCCTGCAACATAGACATATAGTGGTGTTTTTAGAATGATTAGTTTATGTTTTCATCTTCATTAACAGGTTACCCTTTCATGTGTAACATTTCACAAATCCTCACAACCATATAAAGTGGAAACTATTATCTCAGTGTTACATGTGGGGAAACTCAGGTCCCAGTAAGGTCCCTGGCTTGCCCCAAATGAAACAGCAAAATAGAGGAGCTGAGGCACCAGCCTAGGTCATGCAGACACCCTGGTCCAGGACAGTTACATCACTCATCTGCTTGTGAATGAACAGATGACTCTCTTCTAAGATCTTTTGCAACCATCTAACATTTGGTGGTCAGATCCCAGCGTGTCGGGACTGGGAGATAGCCAGTGCAGTCTGTCCACATGCTGCATGTCCTGAAGACACTGTCTAGGTGGAGCATGGCCATGGTTCGAGACTAATACTGACAGTCTACACTTCCAGCTGAATGGGAATTCAGCTGTACTTGTAACTGAGCATTCCAGATTTTTTATATCTAGCAAGTGACTTACCTACTCACACCTTTGTTTTTGTAGTTATTCCTTTAAAATAGTTACAAAAAGGTGCTTTTTAAAACCCTATATAACATTTTATCAGATTGTTAGATTTGTCCACAAATTAGCTTTTAGTTTATTTTGAACTGAGTGTAATGCTGATACCCCTTAGCAAAAGATTGTTACAAGGATTAAATTAGATAGCATATAGAGTTGTTTTGACAAGTGAAAAAAAAAAGCCCTGGCCGGTTTGGCTTAGCGTTAGAGCATCGGCCTGTGGTCCAGAGAGACCTGGGTTCGGTTGCCGCTAAGGGCACGTACCTCGGCTGCAGTTTGTCCCCGGCCCTGATTGGGTTGTGTGGGTGGCAGCCACTCAATGTGTCCCTTTCACGTTGATTCTCTCTCTCTCTCTCTCTCTCTCTCTCTCACTCTATCTGAACAAAAAATGGAAAAATGTCCTCGGGTGAGGATAAAAAAAACAAAACAAGACAAAAAAATATTTCAGGTTAGGAAATATTTGTTAAATGTTTGCAGAGACTTAGAAAACCTAACCATTGATAAGTATGCATAGATGAGTCTTAAGCACAGAATAAAAGGAATTAGTAATTTATACTATAGGACAAAGGTGCTGCCCAGTATAGGGCCAGAGAGAATCGCTGGTCCAAGGGTTCATTATTGAGGCAGATTACATAATAAATTGGAATTAGGATACCTGTTGTCATTTCACCTTCAACTGGAAAATGAAGCTCTTGACTATCTTGAGATAACTGGTTTTTCATTAAAACATGAAGTTATTCTCTTTCCCCTCAAAGATGCTCGTGTTCTTGTTCTTATCAACCTTTCTTAAGGGATCTGTGATGTTGATTTCTAGATAAACTTTCTGGCGACCGGATAAAGCAAGTCATGGAGCACATCTGGAAGCTTCAGGAGTTCTGTAACAGTATGGCAAAGCTGGATATAGATGGCTATGAGTATGCATACCTTAAAGCTATAGTTCTCTTTAGCCCCGGTAAGATATGCAGTGGTGGTCCATAAATGTTTTCCACCTGTGTCTACTGATGTTTGTGAACATGAATGTGTTGTGAAGTTGTCTGGTGTAGAGAGCCCTGCCAGATTGTGATTGAATGTACTCATAATAGGTGTGTTTGCTAGCTTACATAAATACGTGCATTCTTTTAAATTCTTGCTCTTACAGTCCCAAAGAAATGGCTTTTTATACTGAATAGATTTAATCCGTAATCTAAACCGTTGGCCAAACAGGTTACGGCATACAAAATAGTGTGTTCTCCCTCCTGTATGCTTTTTGTCTGTTTTGATTTGTTTTGCTCTTTGCAAACTTTCAGATTATGTTAGCATATATAACCCAGTACAGATTGAAACCACAAGTTTACTCATAGTCTCTGTGGAGGGCATTAGCAGCAGCTGCTGCAGGGCACATGAAAAGGTGTGGTTACAGCAGGTGAAGAAGCGGCAGCAGGACTGTTAGTGGAAAGTAAGAAACGGCTGGGCAGGCCTCACTCACTTCCCCTTGGCTGTTACCATTGTGTTCAACAGCTGGGGTTGTACACAGCTTAACCTTTCCCTTTCTCCCCAACCTTCCACTCACAAACAACAGACTAGCTAATAAAAATGTGATTAAATATCTAGAAAATAGCCTGACCAGTGTTGCTTAGTGGTTGAGTGTCGACCCATGCACCAAGAGGTCACCGGATTCCTTCCTGGTTAGGGCCCATGCCCAGATTGCAGGCTGGATCCTCAGTAGGGAGAGCACAGGAGGCAGCCAATTGATGTATGTTTCTCATGGATATTTCTCTCTCCCTCTCTCTTCCTCTCTCTCTAAAAAAAGTCAATAAAAACATTTTTTAATATCTAGAAATTTAATTTCTAATTTCATGTGATAGTTTTAAAATCGATGTGCTTTCTAGAGTAGTGGAAGTCAAATTTCCAGGACCAGCAGTTGGAGCTGCTGAGGCTGGGATAACTACTCAGGAGCTCAGTCCCTCCTGGGTACCTCCAGACCTTGGCTGAGCACAGGGAAATCCAGTGTTCTAACAATATTCAAACCTGATCAGCTTTCAGAGTTTAATCTATTGTGCTTGAGAAATTTGTCAGAAGTTTTATTAAAAATAAGTTCTAAGAAATCCATGAGGTTTTCTGAATACAGAGGACAATTTAGGGCCACTTTTCTCTTTTCAGATCATCCAGGTTTGACTAGCACAAGCCAGATTGAAAAATTCCAAGAAAAGGCACAGATGGAGTTACAGGACTATGTTCAGAAAACCTACTCAGAAGACACCTACCGGTGAGACATGCAGGCTTCTTTGCTCAAGGAGGGGTGGAGTATGGCTGGATCTGTAGTTGCAGATATAAATTATGTCAGCCTTTCTATTTTTAGCAACCTGGTAAAGCCTCCTTTTGATCACACCTTAATTATTGCATTTTACATGGGGGCAATGGAGTGTGGAAAGTGCCAGGTACGGGGAGGGTCAGGAACATCAGGCCATCCCAGTGTTGCTGGGTAACTGGGCTTTAAGACCTTGGGTTGCTCCTCTGTGATTTGGGGGTTGGAGTTGATGCTGTGTGGTCTCCTCTGGTGCTGACATGCACGAGGCATGAGTCCTCATGGAGACACCCCTTTGTCCAGAACAGTTGGAGGCTCTGTTCCTCTGGTCAATATCTACTCAAGAGGCAATGCTAGAGTACTTGACAGAAAAGTTTTCATTGACAGACACCAAATCTGACCCCTATAAAGCAGTGAGCAGGCTGTATAAAATAGTAATTTTACCCTCAGATAAACTGATTTTTTAAAATTCCCTTTATTTGGATGAAAATTAATTTGTATTATTTGTCTGTTGGTTGGGCAGCAAATATATATATGAGCCTGTTTCATGCAGACTTGAACACACAAGTTGTTCTGAAATAGGGCAGAATGCCTGGCAGGCTTTCCAGCCAAGGAATAGAAGTGCTCTTTCCCCATGACTACTTCCAACCCACTGGAGGCTACATAACTTTCTGGGGCCCTATCAAGCAAAAAATTTAACATTTTCCACCACAATTTGTGTCTTGGCCCCAGAAGGACCATTTCTCTGGTGTGATTGGGGGCCCTGCTGGCAGAAAGCCTACCTCTGTTTTAGGCACACCTCCATGGCCCACAGGCAGCTTTTGCCAAAGCAGGATCCATTTTCTACTGGGATCATGAGGACTCACCATGAATCTAGAATATCTTGAGCCTCAATATGCATAGACTGTCAAGTAATGCACCCATACCCAGAACTCATATATCCAGCCAGGTATGAAGGCAAGCTGTCCCCTGGAGAGGCCACAGGCCTATTCCCATATAATGCCTACAGACAGAAGAGGCTGAAAATGCCCCTCTGGGGGCTGCTGGCAAAGCCACAGCACACTAGAATATACCTTGACAGTAGCAACTCTCTGGTCTTTGAAAGTAGATGTTCTGAAAAAAATCCTAAGTCATTGTCCAGTCAGGGATCCTGGAGGAGAAGGGAGCAGGCCAGGTCATTTGGGACCAAAATTGAAATAAGGGAGGCTTTCTCAGTAATTCAGAAACCCACTCAAAGATGGTTCCCAAAGAAACAGCCCTAAAATTGTTTATACAATTCATTTTTTTAGTCTTTCCCATCCTTATGCTTGTTCTCATACTGTTTGTTCCTCCTGAAATACCATCTCATTCCTCCCCATTCTTTGCATCTCTGCTGATAAAGACATTTTAGCCAGCCTCTTAAGGCCCAGTTGAGATGTGGCATGCTCCAGGAAGTCCTCCTTGATTTGCCTTTGCTGACTTCCTGACACCCTGCAGCGGTCAACCCCTCCAGGTCTGTGGTGGTGTCCCCTTCACCTTTGTGTGCCCTGTGAGACTCACGGTGGCTGGGTGAGTGGATGGTGGTGCTAGAATGCTGCTCACATTATATTAATATATTTTCCCTTTTAAAAAACAACATATAATGTTCACTATAGAAGAAAATTAGGACATTGTGGAAAGCAAAAAGGAAATGTTTAACTTTGTAAATACCACTGTCTAGAGATACCTGTTAACATTTTATGTATTTACTTCCAAAAGCTTTTATGTATGTGTAGTTGGAATCATAAAATATAAAGTAAGGCTTGGTAACCATTTTTAAAATTTTAATATTCAATGAGTATACATAATTTTCTTCATCATTTTTCATAGCTGAGGAGATGCTGTAATTTAACATTTCCTGCAGATGAGAAATGTAGGTTTTTTTCCCAGCTGTGGGATGGCTTTACACAGCGTCCTGTGGCCTGTGACAAAGTCATGGTGTGCCCTCCCACCTCGAGCTTCTTCAAAAGAAAAACAGTTTTAGTGTTTTATTTTAAACTGTAATGCTAAATGAATACTGGAAATTAGGGCAATACAGAAAAAGTTTTAATATGTAAGATCACTCCAAATCCCAATACCCAGAGGCCAACCATTAGCATTCTGGTGCACATCCTCCTGAGTACTGTTTACACACGTGCACACAAATAAATTCAAGTACGACTGTGCTGTACTTGCTGCTTCACAAACTCCTTTCAAGTTTTTATTCAACTACATGTCATGGACTTCTTTCCATATCAGTGAATATGGATCTTTATTACCCTTTTAATGAGTATGTATTGATCCATTATATGAAGACACCATATTTCTCCAGACCGCAGGCGGGTGCTCTAACCACTGAGCCAAACCAGCCAGGGCAAGACACCATATTTCTTTTAACCTGTCCTCTGTTGATAGATTTCCAAATTTTTCTTTTTGGTGGAGGTGGGGGGAGCTGTGAAGGGAACATTATTTGTACATAAAGCTTTGCACTTACTTCTTTGACTTTTTTCCTCATGACAAACTCCCACAAGAGGAACTAAAATAAAAAACAAGAGGTGGATGGTGGATGGTGGATGGATCTGTTGTTTGGTTCAATTCTGAGCAGACAGGGCCCCTTGGAGCCTTTCCAGGGCGAAGTCTGAAGGACAGTAAACCCCACTTTCTCTAATGACCCTCCCTCTTACAGATTGGCCCGGATTCTCGTCCGCCTGCCAGCACTCAGGCTGATGAGCTCCAACATAACAGAAGAACTTTTTTTTACTGGTCTCATTGGCAATGTTTCGATAGACAGCATAATCCCCTACATCCTCAAGATGGAGACGGCAGAGTACAATGGCCAGATCACCGGAGCCAGTCTATAGTGCACACCACACACCTGCTGAGGAGCAAGTGTCCTCCCAGGACTGCTCAGAGACAAAGAAAATGAATTAGTAGTATTTTGGTATGTGTAAAAATGTTCATCATTTCCTACTTGGTTCCTTCTTATCTGTTAATCCCAGGCAATAGCAACTAAAAGACTAGTAGGATCCTTTCCTGCCATAAGAAATGTTTTAATGCCTTTTGATGAAGCAGCAGATTTTGGAACAATCTTTTAACTCAATTTGTATTTAAAAATTCTCAAAGGGCAAAAAACAAAGTTTTATAATGTCAGAGACTAGTATTAAAACTAAAAGAACCTAAGAGAACAGTATGTGTGTGTATATATTAAAAATGTCCTTGGAATTAATAGTTACTAATTACCAGGGTAATAATATTAGCACTTTCTAAGCACTTATCGATACATAATGTTAGCAACATCTTGTCTATGTGCAGGACAAATGGAAAACTGTATATGTCTTTTGCCGAAATGCTAATAATTTCTGTGAAAATGCAATAGGGTACAGGAGACAATCACTTATGTTTAAGAAAAGAAGACATCATTCCTGATTGTATGCACACTTTGCTGGTATTGAACTAAATTCCTGTGAGCAAATGAAAATGTGGCTTATCTGTATCATGCAGTAAGTAGGAGTATGCTAGCACAGTTGGTGGTGGCCCAAACCAAAACCTTCCTCAGCCATAGAGCTGAGGCTTGTCAGGTTCCCTGACCTCTGGTCCTGGTCTGTGACAGGCATCTGTAGGCTACTCCAAACCTGGGGCATCTTTAGGTGGCTGGTTCTCAGAACTGGATTGCAACCAGTCAGACATTAATTACCAATTCCTGCAGCAAATTGACAATATCCCCAAATTACCTCCACCACTATGGCAGATGGAGCCTTCTGACCAAAAAATACAAGGTGGGCATATTGAACCCTTGACAGTAGTATTTCCTCAATACAATCTGGGGTGGCTGCAGTCTTGGGACATGGCCTCCCTGGAGTGTGAGGGTTCCTCTCTGTGGTTTCTGTTCCAAATGCACCCTAAGAAGGGCCTGTTTTTCTCCAGTTCAGTACTACTATGGGGGTGGGATATGTGTACAGGATCTTCCTTCCTGGGTAGGGCAGTGGTGGTGAAGCTGAATGGAAGGGTTCTCTGTTGACTTTAAATACCAAGTTTTTCAGAATGTCTCCAGACTCAGCATCTCTGTCGGCAAGTCAGTCAGTGGTACTGGCCCACCGTGCACTTTGATTTCCCTAGGTGTGTGCCAGCAAACAAACCCTGCAGCATTTGGATGATGGATGCAGAAGCAGGCTGCCTGCTCCTTAAAAAATAACCCTTAATTCCCGGAGTGATTTTCTTTCTCGTAACTTGTAGCAACCGTCATTTACAAGAAGAGAATATGGTTATAAGGAAGTACTATCTAGAGAAGAGCACCCATAAAATCCCATGGATGTGAGTTGCAGCAAGCATTTCCTTTGGGAAAAGTGGTGTGCCCAAGACTAAGTCAAGTATTTTGCATTTTGTTTTTGTTTAGCTCAGAATAAGAAACTACAATGTAAGGTTAAGTTTGCATCTCTTAAATCTTTTGATCAGATGATGTCCAAAAAGATTCCAGTGCACTCCCTGCCTCCTAAGCACTCCCTGGTCTGGCTCGGGCCCTCGGTCAAGGTGGACACTTCATGAGTTGTGCATCGGTGTTCCGCGAGTTGGCCATAGGCTTACAGCAAAATGGGATGCTTTATTCTGATGTGTTAGCAGCACTTTATGAAATTCATTAGTAAGAATTAAGTTGAGACAGTCTCCAATTCTAATTCCAGTGTGGATTTAATTATCATTTATAGTTCATACCTTGGAAGCAAATTTTGGAGAATAGTGAGGGTGCCCATTATAAAATGATGGAAAGGATAATCTTACCAGCTTACATTTTTAGTTTTGTAACTTTGAAGTGTTTTAAATTCCAAAATTAAAACAAAAAAACTGACCAAGACAGTGGAGTTAGGATGGGTCTGTATCATTTCTGCTTGTGAAGGGTTACTAAAACCCTTAGTAGAGGGCATTTTTGAAGCATGTTCATGCATCTTATACAGCAAATTTTTTCTCTTCTTTGATTTTAAAACGTAAGCATGTCTGTTGATCACAGAGTGACTCCCTGGAAAAATATATTGTGTCACATCTTTCAGATCTGAGATCTCAGTGTTGGTGAAAAGGTCCACACAGGCCAGCTCCCTCAGTCCCTTTATCTATTAGGCTTTTAGACTCTACTTGCCTTAAGATATTGGGGCAGCTTAGCCAAGACCTAGGCTGTAGTCTTAGATATGTTGGGAAGAGAAGGTGATAATCAGCAAGGAGGACAGTGAACACTTGGATTGGGAAGTGCCACACTCTAGCAAGATAGCCCTTGAGAAAAGTCAATGTAGCTTAGGAAGTTGCTGATTGTAACCTGGTGATTTTCCTTGAGTCCCTTCACTGGTGGTGGCTGATTTCCATGGACCATTTTGGGGTTTGTGTAGTCCTCATTAGTTTCCCAGATCCTCTTGGCCTTACTCTGAAGTGGCCTGTTCCTTAAGGGGCAGGTGCACACAATCTGAATTCTTGCTGCTCCAAATCGTTTCAAGCATTTGACAGCAGGTCTATCCATCTCTTACCAAATTGGTTAAAAGAAGTAAGCTCAAAGTCAAGTTATTTAAGGGATCCCAAGCAGATATTTGAGTTCAACTCTCACAAGGCTTTCAAACTCTAGATTTAGTGAAGTAGACCAGTCCTCTGCCTGCTGAATCTCAGAGTGAAATAAGGCAGGAGCAGGACTTTGCCATGTGGCCTATTCAGATACCGTTCTGCTGGTCTGGCCAGTCCTCCCTCAGTTGAGGAGAGGTTCACTGGCTAACGGATGTGGGGACAGACATACTGTTGCTTTGTGATCAACTGGGTTCTTTTCCAGTGGTATCTCAGATAATGTTGGACAGTTATGTGTTGAAATCTGTGGAGTTCATTACATGTAACCGTAAAACAGGATAGGAAGAGACTTTGAAAAAGACCAAATTACTCATGCAAATAATACTTTCCAGGTTATTTCTGTAAAGTATTTTTAAGGCAGTATGTTACCACCCTTCTAATTTGAGATTTTTACGTGTTTCTTGGGGGTTACATTATTTATTGTCTAATCTCTGTGGTTGGGGTTCTTGTTTGGGTTTTATATTTAATTTCAGGTGTAGTCACTTGTAAGATGTTATGTATTATCCCTCAAGAGGGATGTTCTAGCTTGTCAGTGTCAGTATTAAATGTGAACTGTTCTGAGGCAGTTGGCACCAGTTATGGTGATAGCAATGGACATGTCTGTTCTGGGCTCCCCGTTGTGCAGCAACACCCTCATTAGAGCTTGCTTAGTAGGTTTGCTTGTTTTGGGGGGAGCCAAGAATTAGAAGGGCTCTAGCTATATCTAGTGCTTTTATTCTGGGAAAACCACATCCTAGTCCTTTGGGATAGTTTCCAGCAGAGCAGTCTCGCTCCCTGCCTGCCCTCTGCCTGACAAGCAGCCCTTGGCTGTGGCCCCAAGTTCTGTGACCTGGTTAGTTCAGAAGCATGTGGCCTTCTTTCACGTGGAAATGGTCTTATGTGCAGTGGGGCTATAGGTGACATTTCAACTCTTCTCTGAGCCCAGGTCATGAAAAGTGTCATCTTCTGACATTCACCTTTGTCTCAGGAGGTCAGTGCCCTTTAGATCCTGGAAAGGTCTGAGCAGGCAGGGCAGATGACTCCATGCTTTTGTCCCACTTCCATTCCCTAGATTGTGCGGCTTTTTGAAAATATTTTAACTTTGATGTGAATTTGTAATCGAGACAGAGTGGGTTTGGGTCTTTTGTACACAGGGCTTTGGACCTCCGCGTGTGCCTCCCACCAGCATTGCACGACCATGTGTCCAGCCCTGAGCTCCCCTCAGCACATTGTGCATGTACAGATTATAGACTTGTATGACTGAATGAATGTACATGTGTTTATATCTTCTTTATATGTACAGTGTGTATATAGTATGTATGTGTACATAGATGTATATTATGTATACAGACATGTAGCCACATATCCAAACTCTCCTAACGTTTTAAAGAGAATCTATCATAAGAGTTGCTAAAGAAAATTTGATGTGAGTGTTCCAAGGTCCCTCAGCAGGATGGATTTGCTGAGATTTTTAACTCCATTTTCCTTTAGGTGAATCTGGCTGGGAAAGGCCATGAAGTCAGAATCTCTAACTCAGTACCAGGGAAAATTCCAGACAGAAATGTCCTGACAGGATGACATTGCTATGTGTTCTATAGGGTCAGACAAGGACTAGGAAGCTGGAAGACAGTTTATCCTAATGTCCAAAAACGAGGTGGGGATCTTTAACATGGTTGTCACACACCTCTTCATGGCCTAACTGGAAGGAACTTGGTAGCTCCAGCTATTATTGGCCTTCCCAGAGACTTGCTCTGTCACATGGTCAGTTTCAGAACAGTCTGTCATGGGGCCTGGCTCCCGGTGTAGCAATGTCCCCACTTGCTCTGGACTCAGTCAACAGATGGTGGGCACTACACTGTGACTACACAAATCCCCATCTAATGCCAGTGGGGGTGGGAGGGGCTACCGAGTATTCTTTAAAAATAAGTGTAAATGTTGATGGCTAACTTTTTATGGCATATAAGTTACAAACCTTAAATTACTTCTCCAACTATAGCATGTGAATGAAATCCACTGACTTTCTCTAAATTATGATTTTAAAATTTCAGATGAAATTGCATTTTAATATGGATATGCATGTCCTTAAAGCTACAGATGCCAAATTTTCCTTGTTCAGGTCTATTCTGGTGAATTTCCCCCTAAATCGGGCTTTAAACTGAGACACGGCACTCGGAGCCAGGCCCCAGCCCAGCAGTAGTTGCTCGTGGACCTGGTAAGCACAGGGGGCCAGACTGGGGGAAGGTTGAAAGCTGGCCTGCTGAAAGAGATCACTGGATAACGGCAAAACCATAATCCACAGGTTGCTTTTTTTTTTTAATCTGTTGAAATGTTTGAAAACACTTCATTGAGACCTTATAGTACTCAGTGCCTTTTGTGAGACTGAGCCATTCAGCCTCCAGCTTCCCCATCTGATACAAAGAAGGTCCTGCTGCTTCACAGGCCTCCCAGCAGTGATTGTCACCTCTCATGTCCTTACCCGCCGTGACAATCACTATTGAAGGTAGCTTTCCAGTTCAAATAACACAATGGAAGCTTGACAGTCTCTAAATGAAATCTTTAAAAAATTGCCTTTGGGGCTATTTATTTTAGCAGCAATCTAAAAATAAACTGAGAGCTTTAAAAAAAGTATCTTGGGGTAGGGAACATCTGATTATTTTTAATTCCCAGCTATACTTTCAATTAAGCCAATAATTTTGGTGTCTCAAAATATATATACATACAATAGAAAAAAGTGCTCTAAAAAAATAAATGCTGAAAAAATGCTCAGCAACATTTATCAATTGACTGTGATAAAGCTTAATATTTGGATAACATTGGGAAGTAGACTTGACATGAAAAATAAATGGCTTCTCTCTAGGAAAGTATCATTTGTCATTTTAACAACTAGAGCGTTCATGGACTCAAATGCTGCTGCCGCATACAACTCAAGTGCTGAACTACTTTTCTATATCCTCCCAATTACCTTGTAAACCAGTGTTCAACTAGTTTTATAACTGAAAAGCTGCACATTTTTCATAGTACGAACCATAGTTTTTACCTGTAGTTTGGAACTCTGTTAAAATGTAGCTAAGTGTTACCAGCCCTTTTAAAAGATGTCTGTTAAAGGAAAACTTGGGTGTTAGATTTTCTTGGGACCGTTTCTGTAACCTCTGCCCTTCCCAATACAGAAAATATTGTTTATGCCATTACATTTTAATTCCAGGTTTAAAACCTGTTGAAAGCTGTAGCTTGAAATCAGCTTTATGTAATGGCATTTAAAAAAAAAATAGCATGTTCTTTTTAAACTGAATTTTATATCTAATCAATGTCTTCAGTCTTGAAGAAGAATTTGCATTGTTGTGTTTGTATATAGAGTATTGCAGTGCATGAATTAGCTTTATGCATTTTATTAAATGCTGTTTCAATGTGGCATTATTGTTGTGGCTTAATACTACTACCTAAATGAGGTTTATACTATTAAAAGTTAATTAAAGACTAATGTGCATCTTGCTCGTCCTTTTTCCTCACAATAGTAATAATAATACCTGACCGCCATAAGTCCCCAGAGTGCTCTCACCTAAACTCCGAGTAGGTGGCGAGGAAGCACCCTAGTAGTCAGAACCCTGTAGCTCTGTCCATTTGATGGCCCACTGGACTTATGTTTCTGGAGCAGGTCTTAGGTTGCCGGACCTCGTAGACTGCCAACACAGACACAGAGTCAGGCCTCAGACCACAGTAGATGTATTCTTAAAACTTTAGAAGTCATCTGATGTCTCATTTTATAGGTAAGGATTCTGAGATCCTAAGTCAAGATTCTTAGCAGAACCCAATGGCAGCCAAATAGCTTTAAATGGCTTGCCCAGGTAATCCTCAAAATGAAAAAAGAAAAGTAGGTCACTTAAGCAGACCAGGGTTGAAAACCATCTGGCAAACATTGGTTATGCAAATGAAATTAAAAAACATGTCAATCATAGAATTCTCATAGCAATCTTCTCTAATAATTTTCTCCCTTTTTTTTTTTTTTCATTTTAAATCCCATCTTTTATCATCATTGATGTAGGAAATGGAAGACAAAGGTGTTTATTTCCATGAATCATTATCTGCTGTCTGTGAAGTGGCCCATGCAAACAGTAACAGCGGTGCTTTCCCATCAGGCACTGGACATTAATTATCTCTTTAAAGAGGAGTCACTGGCTTGGTCCAGGGCAATTCTGGTTAGCTACTTTTCTGGGCCCTATGGACAATGGAGGGAAGGAATGCTTTCATAAGGCCTTCTGTGTCACCAGCTGTGCCAACATGCCAAAAGGAACAAACTCTCTGAAAAGGCCTGGAGGCAGTCCAGTAGAAAACCCAGCCAGCTGGTGTGAAGGTCATGCTGCAATCAGCCACTTGAGATTAGAAACATGGTAGGAACTGAAACCAGCATCCACAGGAGTATTAGAATGGAGGATCGATTTTTCGAGACACCCTCCAAAATGTTGATGGGGAGATGATTCAGCTCGGCAGTTAGAGTGCTGGCCCGCAGATCAGAGAGTCATGGGTTCAATTCCTGGACAAGGGCACATACCTGGGTTGCAGACTCGATCCCCAGCCCTAGTTGGGGTCATGCAGGAGGCAACCAGTCAATGTGTCTCTGTCACATCGATATTTCTCTCCCCTCCCTCCACTCTGTCTAAAAATCAATGGAAAAATATCCTCAGGTGAGGACTAACAAAAAATAAAATAAAAATGGCTTTAAAAAATATATTTTTAATTTCAATTCAACAAAACTGAAGTAAGCCTGTCAGTTACACATTAGACTTCACACACCCACCTTCCTTTCCCAATCTCCCAAAAGCCATATCACCCTGAATACAGCTCTGGTACAAAATCACAATAAACCATAACTTGAGCATCAAATGTTAAAAGAGCCAGATTTCTCAATCTATGGGATAATCTCCAGCATTCAAATAAAACATTCTAGTTTCACGTCATTTCCCACAGCTAGCTACTTCATGAGGTAATGCCCTTATTCCCATTTTATAGTGTTAGGCCTTGACCAAGGTTCCCATCAGAGAGGAACTCAGACCTTAAACCTGCCCTACTAAGCCCACCTTCTTGCTGCACCCCACTGGGCAAAGTCACGTGGTTTGTGTTTCCTCGAATCTGTAGTCCAGCTGGTACTTTACTTTTGACCAAGTAAACCTATTCTTAAAGTGACCCTAGAGGGCTTTGGTGTCTAAGGGCTAAAACCAGCACAACTAAAGTGGCAGCAATATCCGTGTCCTAAGGAGGAAAAAAACTACTCAGAAGACCCTCAGTAACACCTCACACTCTCTTCCAAACCCTAAATCAAGATCTGAACAAGAAAGAAGGTGAACTGAGAGGCAGCCTCCACTGCCAGGCCCCTCAGGAGGAAAGGGTCAGTTGGCTTTAGTTTTAAAAGTGAGCACTGCATAAAGGTTTGCCCTGGGGTTTCTGAAAAATACCCAGAGAGAGACAATGGAGGGGACATCCATACTGCCAGCCTCAACTCACTCCAACCAGACAACCACAGCAACTCTTAATTCTCCAGAGCAGGGTCTGGAAGAGGAGTCGAAACCAGTGGAAGCCAGGAAAAGGCCACAGGATCAAGACGGGATGTCAACTGGCTGTTGATCCCAAAGTCCTGTCCCCATGCAGGTCTTCCTCCTTTTGCCTATCAGACTGGATACACACCGTGCTGCTGGAATGATTAAGGAGCATTTTATTTTCAGAATCTCGGGGGACAGAACTGGAGGCTTCCTTGTGGCTAAGGTAACCCAAGCCCACAGGCCTGAGGCCTTAGTCCTGGGCACTGGCTTTCAGAGTTGCTTTGTACTTCCCTGTCATCTCCTTGGGTAACGGCACCAGGGCGGGGCAGGGCACCTGCCCTTCCACCTCACAGATGCACTCCCGAAGACAATACTTTCGTGGTCCAAAGTGGGCTGGATGAGAAAGCTGCTCTTTCTCCTGCTCCTCCTGCTTGAGAGTTTCCCTGCCAAAGAGCACAGACAGCAACAAGGTATGAGCAACACTGCTCTGAGACTCAGCGAAGCATAGGACTTCTCAGACTGAACCCCACCATCAGCCAGGGAGACCTGGATCTCCTATGTCTTCTAGCATGCTCTTCAATCCCCTAACCTAACCCTCCCCTCACCACAGAGGAGGCCTTCAGTATGTGAGCAGTGTCAGGCCCCAGAGGAGGAGGTCACTTAGGAAGCACACTCAACCCAGGCTGGCATAGGAAGGAGTAAATAGTCAGCCTTCATCAGATAGGTGAGGGGCGGCCCCATTTCTGACTCGTGGGACAATCAGTAAAAGGGCTTGGAAATGCCTTTGTGTGCTTTGTCAAAGACATTCTTGGTTCCCTCCCTTTCCTCCTTTCCTGCATGGAAAGAGACACGTCACAGTAGGCCCTGGGGTTGGTCACCCACTGTCTCCAAGCTGGGACATGCTTCCAGCCACACAGGGCAAGTAGTTTAGCTGCAACTCAGCTTCCCACTGACCCCAGGAGGGAAGGATGACCTTTATCCCCACTTCACAGTGGAAGGAGTTACAGCTCAACAGAGGCTCAGTGACTTGGTTACACATCTGGTGAACAGCAAAGCCAGACGAAACAGAAGCCTCTCAAGCCCATACTTTTGTGAGTGGCTCACTGTCAGAGAGCCCGTCTTCTTGACACCACTCCCAATACATCTCTTTCCTCTCTCAAAGTCTCTGGGCTGAGAAGTCTGATCCCCTCCAGGTGAACCCCAGCAACTCACTCATTCTTCCCCAGGATTTTTTTGATGTGCTCCATGATCTCTTTATTGCTCTTGGTCTCTACATCCACGAGAACCTGCTCACCAGAATCTGGAAACAGGAAGTAGGGGGAAGGGGCTGAGAAATTGGAAGTGTGCTCCTCAGCCCCAAATGGTGGTGATTTGGGATTTGCTTTTAGTGGAGAAATATTTTAACAATAAAGTACATATGTTTGTTTACATAACCCATAATATACTACCCTTCCTTTTTCCATATTTCTTTACAGACATGAGCAGACATAAATTTTTGGCATACTATTT